GCTGCTGAGGAGAGGTGTCCTAGAGAAAGCTGCCTTCCTACACAAGGCTAAATGAAATAATCTATGTTTGCTATTAAAACCTCACTGCCTCTGACGTCAGAGAAGTTCTGTGGGTTTGAGGGGACAGTAGAAACTGTGTTTCCATAGCACTGTACAAATGACTGCCTGGTGTGTTTGTTCCCACTTTTTTTTTTTTTCTTGGCCTCCTTTCCAGGAAATGGACTGGAGGAGCTGGCAATTGATTAAAAATAGGCTTCATGTGAGGAAAACATATGCATTGGACAAACTTAAAGTCTCCGAGCCTCAGAATGATTGTGGCAAGCTATATTTAGGCCTGGAGTTTAGGTTTCTTCAGCACTGGCTGGAAAAAGCCTCCAGTCAAGGCAAAACTTCTTCCTCTATTGTAGGATCATCACCTGTTAAGTCTCATGGCCTTGGTTTATGACCTAGTGGGACGGTTTCCTGATGAAAAGTTTAGTACGTATTTTTCTAGTGGCCTAGCCCTTGGAATCTCAGCATGACAGACTCTGGAAAGGGCCTTGAACTGCTGCCCCCAGCTGGTCACCAGGCATCAGGTGGGTGAAAACCATTTCTGGGTTTGGAGGTCTTTAAGAGCAATGTCCCTGTGACTCCTCTTAGTTGCCTTGTCCTATATTTTATTTTCCTGGTGAAAGGATGTTCCTCTTTTTGTTCCCTTTTAACAAATGTCACTCCCAGGTCTATTTTTTTGTAGTTGTTAATCCTCACGCAAGGATAGGATATTTTTTTCCCTTGATTTTTTTAGTGAGAATGGAAGGGAGGGGGAGAGAGAGAAACATCAATGTGAGACACACGGATTGGTTGCCTCCTGCACACACCCAACCCGGACGGGGATCGAACTTGCAACCCAGGTACGTGCCCTTGACTGGAATCGAATCCCGGACCCTTCAGTTCACCGGCCGACGCTCCAACCACTGAGCCAAATCGGCCAGGGCTTCATCAGGTCTTTACTCATGCCTGGTCCTGTGCTGGGTGGGGCCTGGGATACAGATAACATGAGATCATGTTCACTGCGTTTAGAGACTCAGAGTTTAGCACAGCTCCTCATAAAATTTCTTTAGAGCCTTAAAAATAATACTAGCATAACTTGCTTTAAGAAAGTTAGAAAGTCAACCCTGGCCAGTGTGGCTAAGTGGTTAGAGTGACCGCCTGAGCACTGAAGGGTCTCAGGTTCAATTCCCAGCAAGGGCATGCACCTGGGTTGCAAGTCTGATCCCTATCCTGGTCGGGGTGCATGGGGCAGGCAACCAATCGATGTGTGTCTCTCACATCATGTTTTTTTTCCTCTCTTGCTCACCCTTCTCTAAAAATCAATGGAAAAAATATCCTCAGGTAAGGATTAACAAAAAAAGAAAAAAAGAAAGTTAGAAAGTCAGTTACTATGAAGCTTAGAGTGACGGAAAGATAAACTGAGCTTGAGTCACCACTTTAAAAAAAATATATCTCCTAAGGGCTCAGCTAAATGGAATTTAAAGTAAGATTTAGTTTATTCAAACCTTCGTCAGAAATACACCTAATTGCAAAGAGAAAGGTGTGTCTGCAAGGAATCACTTCTCAGCCTCCTCAGTGGGCCTCCTGTTTCCTTCTTGGATCTTAGGCTGTATCTTGGCCAGCTCCCAGCCCCCACCAGAGGAGACCAGGAAGCCAGAAAGGAGAGGGGAGCAAGGAGAAGGGAAGAGGATGTCAAGAGGAGGGAGGAGGGAAAAAGAGAAGGAAGGG